GGCCTGATGTAGCTCTACCATCTTGTGAGCAGCTTTGGCAGCAGAGGGAGGTCTAAGAGAGCAGATTTGCACCAGACAACTGAAAAGGTGTGAGCTCTTCTTTTTCCTCATGCTCCCTAGTGATCAGAAGTGCGGCCAGTTACCATCCTCATCCACTCTCAGCACAAACAATGCTCTCTGGGAGTTCAGAGCTATGAGGTTGAGAGCCAAGCAAGCATGAGGTGGGGCCAGCTGCACTGTTTTGGTGTGCCTCTTTGGTCCCTGGATTCAGGTGGGCTCAGCTCCAGACCTACAAAACCCACAGAGCCACCAGACCAGCTTTTAACCAGTCATACTGCCACCAGCTTTCCTGTGGTCCTGCCAGACACTGAAACCAGCCCTATCAGGGACCCCCATGAACTACCCTGTACACAGATAACATCTAGAACAACAGGAACTCCATCTATGGTCAGGAACTCTGCTATCACATTCCTTCTACAGACACCTCATGAGCTCCTTGAATAGCAGGAGCCCCTCCCCCCCAACCCCCCCCAGAGATTTCTCCTCTTTGGGTCCAACAACTGCCCTGTTTGTTTTTATAAATACAACAACTCTACAATGCCCCGGAGACAACAGCCAATTTTAGCTCACACAAAGAAACGAATGGCTCAAACAAATAACCAAGATACAGAGCGAGAAAATGATTGTGAGGAAGAAAAGGTAATGTAATTAATTGAAAAACAATGATAATTAGTTACCTTCAAAGGTTAGACAGAAAGATCAGATCAAGGAGAGCAAGGAGAGTGCAATAAAAGCATCGGGAGAATTCAGGACAACACTACAAGAACAAACAGATAAAATAAATGCAAATTTAGAAACAATACAAAACCTGCAATTAGAAATCCAGACAATCAATCAAAAGATCTTGGAAATAGACAATACATTGAAAGGGCAAAGGAGTAAAAGTGAAGCAATGGAAGCCCAAATTAGTGAGCTTGAGGAGAAACTGCTCAATACTAGTATGCCAAAAGAACAATCAGAAAAAAATAATGAAATAATCCATAGAAAGTCTAAGAGTTATGTGGGACACCATGAAGAGAAACAACCTTTAAGTCAAGTAGATTTAGGAACAGAAAGAGACAAGTACCAAGAAAATTGTTGAAGAGTTGTTGGAAGAAAACTTCCCTAACATCATGAAAGATGAGAAGATAAGCATACTAGAAGCTGGACGAATCCAAAAAAGGATAGATCCCAAAAGAAAATCACCAAGTCATATCATAATCAAACTTTTCAAAACGAAAGACATGGAAAAAATCCTGAGAGCAGCTCAGGAAAAATGGAAAGTTACCTACAAAGAAGAACCAATAAGACCAAACTCAAATTTCTCAATAGAAACCATGCCGACAAGAAGGCAATGGAATGACATATACAAAACACTGAAAGAAAAAGGCCAAGAATCATATACCCGGCAAAGCTGTCCCTCAAGTACGATGGCAAAATTACATTTCCTGATAAACAGAAATTAAAAGAATTTGTAATGACCAGACTAACTTTACAAAAAATGCTAAAGGGTGCTCTTTGGACTGAGAACCAACAACAGCAAACACCAACCAGAGATTACCATCCATGATAGCACTACTCAGAATTCAATCCAGATATAGAAGTACTTAAAGTAAAACAAACCTATAAGACTAACAATAGATATCAATGCATAATGAAGTCAACTACAAAGTAAAAAGAGTAAATAATGTCGATATGTTGTTGTTGTTAGGTGCCATCAAGTTGGTACTGATCATAGCAACCTTATGCACAGCAGAACGAAACACTGCCCAATACTGGGCCAACCTAACTATCATTGCCACGCTTGAGCTCACTGATGCTGCCACTTTGCCAATCTATCCCGCTGGGGGTCTTCCTCTTTTTCTCTGACCCTCCACCTTACCAAAAATTATATCCTTCTCCAGCGACTGGTCCCTCCTAACTAAATATTTGGAAGTAGTTCGCCACTCCTTCTTCCTAGTCTGTCTTCATCTGGAAGTTCATCTGAAACCTGTCCACCATTGGTAATCCTGCTGGTATTTAAAATACCTGTGGCATAGCTTCCAGAATCACAGCAACTCACAAACCATCACAGTACGACAAACTGACAGACATATGGTGGAATGTAGATATAGAACTTCCAAACTGCAAGAAGTCAAGTAGATTTCAAGATCAAACAAACTGTTTTAAGCATGGAAAAAATGAATAAATTACATTAGAACTTTAAAGAAAAATAATACACCTGCACATCAAAATTTAAAAAGGAGAAAAATAAAAAAGATGTAGTAAATGTCAACACAACAGAAATACAAATGACAAGAAAACCCACAAAAAAAATGAACTCAGCATAGAACATTATGTGGAACAAATAATCCAGCAGCACCACACACAAAAAAAACTCACAGAAAAATAATAATATTTCATACCTATTGATAATTATACTAAATGTAAACGATTAAATTTACCAATCAAGAGACATAATGAGCATAATGGATAAGAAAAGAGGATCCTTCAATATACTGTCTACAAGAAACTATCAAAAAGATAAAGACAGCCTAAATGACTAGCAATAAAAGAATGGTTACACAAACTGGTAGATACACACAATGCAATACTACAAAATGTTGAAGAATAAGTATGTAACACCAAGTAACATGGTTGAACCTAGAGGACCTCATGCTGAATGAAATAGGTGGTGGTGGTGTACGTGCCATGGAGTCAGTTTCCAAGGAGCAGCTGGTGGGTTTCAACCACTCACCTTGTGGTTAGTAGTCCAACACTGCCCCTACAGTGCCACACCAGTCAATCACAAAAGGACAAATATTGTATGAGACCGATGTTTTAAAAAGTTTTTTTTTTTTTTTTTTAAGTTTTTCTTGATAAAAGAAACAATCTATAGTGGTGATGGGAGGTGGAGGGAGGAAAAATTATTCACGGGCTAAAGGGTAGGCACTTATTAACACGGGTGACAGGGCAGGCAATATACAAAAGAGGTTAGCTGAGAAAAGATGAAGGAAGCGGGAGACACAGGGAGGAATGCAATAGTTAAAGTGAGTAGAGGTAAACGCTGTTAACTGTTGGTACATGGAGGGTACTGCAACCACATAGTGAAAAAAAAAAGTGTATGGCTTGGTGAATGTAAAACTAATGATTTGCTCTGTAAACCTTCACGCAATTAACAATAAAAAGTTTTTAAAAAATAACGATGATGAAAAGGAATTAAAAAAACAAAAGTGAATCAACCAGAAAACAATTAATAGAAAGGATCAGCAAAGTCAGAGACTGGTTCTTTGAAATGATAAATAAAATTCATAAAACCCTAGGGGAGCTATTCAAGAAAAAAAGATAATCCATGTTAGGAATTAAAAAGTAGATGTTACAACTGATCCTGCAAACAAGAAAGATTTTATAAAAAACTTTGTACCATTATATTTGAAAATTTTGATGAAATGCAGAAATGCCTAGAAAAACACAGCTTCCCCAAGACTGAAAGAAGAAACAAAAATCTGAATAATTATGAGATGGTTAAAGAAATGTAGGTGTAGTGATGTAGGATAAGCACTGGACTGCCAACCATAGTGTTGGCAATTCAAACCCATTAGCCACTCCTTGGAAACACTCTACTGGGTCTATATGAGTTGGACTGACTCAACAGCACATAACAACAACAATAATAAAACGGAATTTATAACTAAAACTATCAACTAAAGAAATGGAATTTATAATAAAAGGCTTCTCACAAAAACAAAACTCCAGACTCAAATGGTTTTACCAGAAAATTCTACCATCATTTAAGGAATAAAGCATTATACTTTTACATAAATTATTCCAGAGAATAAAAAAAAGGGATCATTCCTTAACTTGTTTTATAAAGCAAGCACAGACCAGAAGTATAAAGAAAAGAAGGAAATGGAAATAATGTTAGAATATTAGTTACCTTTAAGCAGGAAGGAGGAAGTTGTAATTAGGAAAAGGCAGTGGGGATTCTGGGGTGCTTGCAAGATTTCTGTGGTAGTTTCCAAGCATTTGCCTTATAATCAATCATTAAAAAGTACATTTCTGTATACCTTTTCTGCATATGCATTATGATTGATAATTTTAAATTTATTTAAATTTATGTATCAGTGTGACTTAATATCAATGTGGTATAAATATTTGTGGACTCTTTATTCTTAGACTTTAGTCATTCTCATGATCATAACTTTATTTACTTCAACAGGCTTATAGTTTCTTCTTCTTGGAGATTATATTTTAGAGATTAATCTCTTTAATGTTTACTAGCTTCCAAGCTTCATTAACACAGAGTATACTGGATCAACAGTTATAATTATATTTTGTACTAAGAGCAACTATTCTTGAATATTGTGTACTTCCTAACACGGGGCATTGTTTTTAAAACCTAAAATTTAATCTTAGGTGATAACACACAAAGATTAATCAATAATCTTGTAGGTCTGTAAAGTGTATAATATAAAGAAAAATGAGACAGGTACAGAGTTTTCTGAGGGACTAAATAAATATCAACTCAGCAGCTGTTCTGAGAACTTCCACATCTGTTTCCTATCAATGATTATTTTAATGTATTTGTCTTCAGATTTTGTCTCCTCAACCCTACTTCAAAACCCAGCCATCTTCTAGAAAATGCTTTACAGTAACAACATATATGATGTAATGATTTTCAATATGAATGATCTTTTATTAACACCAAATTATTCAGTTATTTCTTCTCAAAAACGATTATAAAATAAACTGCTAAGTGGACACACTTCAAATTCTATTTTATCAGCAATGACAAAGCCTATAGAGAACTAATGCTCCTACCTACCTTTTGAAGTGTCTTTGAGGTAAATAATAAGCATCAAAACAGAGCAGACCAAAAACAATTCTGACCCAAACTAAGAAGACTCAAACTGTAGTCTAAACACTGTCACCAATTTGGCAATTTTAAATAAAAGTAGTATTTTTATCATAAAATTTCTCACTTTTGGAACGTGAGGGTTAAATTCCACAGCTCTGTGAATTGCTTCCACGGCATTAATTTCTGCTGTGCTTAACCCTCTTCTAGAGGCTGTTTCTGGAGAAAATCTGTAAGAAAACCACAAAATGTAGAAATGAATATATAATAATTATAGACTCAAACAATAATGCTGTTGTTGTTAAATGCCATCAAGTTGACTCTGACTACTAGCAACCTTGTATGGGGTTTCTGAGGTGGGTATGGTTCGCAGTACAGTGCTGATCTTACAGTGCCATAATGCAACTACCAAAATAAAAGTAGTTTCTGATGATGGCCAAAGACAAGCTTTTCTTATTCAACATATAGAACAAAAGAAAATAAGGAATGGAAATCTTCAAACAAAAGAAATCTTCATACAAAAGAAAGTCTTTTGAAGGCAAACTGGGAAGCTACTAAGATCAGAAATGCTAGACAGAGACATCCACAGAATCTTATGACATAAAAGTATATTCTTATCAAATTCCCATCTTAGAGGAGACTGTGACTATTCTACTTTAATTTAGATCAAGCCATAGTAATATAAGGTTTTCATAGTAATATAATAACTGCCAGCTGGTTGGTTTCTAAATATCTTATATGTGAAAGAAAGAGAAACTCATTAAGGGCAGCCAAAAATACAAGGAAAGCAGAATAACTCAGAATAATAACCTAAGAGGCGATAATATGAGACCTATTTTCCTATTATCGTCATCACAACTACTATTACCTATTGATGTGTACTTTCTTTCTATGCATTTTTTAGGCACTTACCTCATAATTCTCATACAATCACCCTTTAGTGTGGATATATATTATTAGTCTCATTTCACAGATAGGAAAGAGATTCAAACTGTCCCCAGTTCCACTATTATGTGGTAAGTTGAATTTGAACCCAGGTTTTCTTTTAAGCTTTAAAAGCCTTTCACCATACACAGTTGTTACTGCTAAGCACTATCGAGTTGGTTCTGACTTATAGCGACCCTGTATAGGGTTTCCCAGGAGCAGCTAAGTTTAAAATGCCAATTTTGCAGATCAAATCAACCTTGAGGTTGAGTGTTTTGCCTATGGTGCTGCACTAGAACTTCCTATACATAATGTTGATGTTGTTATGTGCCCTGCAGTCAGTTCCGACTCATAGCAACCCCGTATTGGGTTTCCAAGGCTGCAAAGCTTTACGAGAGCAGAAAACCTCATCTTTCTCCACGGAACAGCTGGTAGTTTCGAACTGCTGACCATGAGATTAGCAGCCTGATTCGTAACAACAATGCTAGCAGAGCAAAACCTCAAAGTCACAGATTATCAAAGGTTATTTAGGAGGAAGTAGGGAAGGAAGTCCACCACCTGTCTGTCAGTTTGTCGTACTGTGGTGGCTTGTGAGTTGCTATGATTCTGGAAGCTATACTACTGGTATTTTAAATACCAGCAGGGTCACCCATGATGGACAGGTTTCAGATGACCTTCCAGATGAAGACAGACAAGGAGGAAGGAGTGACGAATTACTTCTGAATATTTAGTCACTGAAAACCTTATGAATAGCTGGGAAACACTGTCAGAGATAGTGCTGAAAAATGAGTCCCTCAGGTTGGAAGACACTCAAAATGTGACTGGGGAAGAGCTACCACCTCAAAGTAAAGCCTGTGGGAGAAACGCCCGTGTGACCTTCATTTGCTGATGGGGCACAACTCAAAATGAAGAGAAACAGCTGTAAACATCCATTAATAATCAGAACATGGAATGTACAAAGTATGAATCCAGGAAAATTGGAAATTGTCAAAAATGAAATAAATGGAACACATAAACATCAATATTTTAGGCAATAGTGAGCTGAAATGGACTGGTATTGGGCATTTTGAATCTGACAAACACATGGTTTACTATGCCGGGAATGAAAAATTGAAGAGGAAGTGTTGCATTAATTGTCAAAAAGAACATATCCAGAACAGTTATGAGTTACAATGCTGTGATAGGATAGTATCTATATGCCTACAGGGAAGACCAGTTAATACCACATTATTCAAATTTATACACCAACCATTAAAGCCAGTGAGGATGAATAGAAGAATTCTACCAATTTCTTCAATCTGAAATTGATCAAACATGCAATCAAGATGTATTGATCATTACTGGTGATTGGATTGCAAAGGTTGGGAGCAAAGAGGAAGGATCAATAGTTAGAAAATATGGCATTGGTGATAGAAATGATGCTGGAGATCGCATGATAGAATTCTGCAAAACTAATGATTTGTTCATTTAAAATACCTTCTTTAGACAGCATAACAGACGACTATACACATGGACCTCGCCAAAAGGAATACACAGAAATCAAATTGCCTACATCTGCGAAAAGAGACAATGGAAAAGCTCTATATCATCAGTCAAAACAAGGCCAGAGGCAGACTGTGGAACAGATCATCAATTGTTGTAGCTCTTATTGTTGTTGTTAGGTACCATCAAGTCGGTACAGACTCATAGCAACCTTATGCACAGCAGAATGAACCACTGCCCGACCCTGGACCAACCTCACAACAGAATGAAACACTGCCCGGTTGTGGGCCAACCTCACCATTATTGCCACGCTTGAGTTCATCGATGCTGCCACTTGGCCAATCCATCTCATTGGGGGTCTTCTTCTTTTTCTCTGAACCCCCACCTTACCAAACATGATGTCCTTTTCCAGCAACTGGTCCTTCCTGACAATATGTCTGAAGTATGAGAGGCAAAGTTTGGCCATCTTGACCGCCAAGGAGCACTCCGGCTGCACTTCTTCCAAAATGGATCTATTGGTTCTTTTGGCAGCCCATGGCACTTTCAATATTCTCCTCCAAATCATAACTCAAAAGCATCCATTCTTCTACAGTCTTCCTTATTCACTGTCCTGCTTTCGCATGCATACTAGGTTACTGAAAATACCATAGTTTGGGTCAGGCGCACCTTAGTTCTCAAGCTGACATCTTTGCTCTTTAACACTTTAAAAAAGTGTTGCGCAGCAGATTTGCCTAATGAAACACATTGTTTGATGTCTTGACTGCTGCTTCTGTGAGTGTTGATAGTTGCTCCAAGGAGAATGAAGTCCTTGACAACTTCAATCTCTTCTCCATTGATAAGAATGTTGTTTATTGGTCCAGTGGTGAGGATTTTTTTTTTCTTTACATTGAGATGTAATCCATACCGAAGGCTGTGCTCTTTGATTTTCATCAGTAAATGTTTTAAGTCCTCTTCGCTTTCAGCAAGCAAGGTTGTATCATCTGCATATTGCAGGTTGTTAATGAGTCTTTCTCCAATCCTGATGCGTTTTTCTTCATATGATCCAGCTTCTTGGATTATTTGCTCAGCATAAAGGTTGAATGAGTATGGTGAAAGATACAACCTTGTACACCTTTCTTAATTTTAAACCATTCAGTGTTTCCATGTTCTGTTTGAACAATTGCCTCTTGGTCCAGATACAGATTCCTCATGAGCACATACTCATGGAATACTCATACTTCGCAATGTTGTCCATAGCTTGTCATAATCCACACAATTGAAAGCCTTTGTGTAGTCAGTAAAGCACAGGTAAACATCTTTTCTGATATTCTCTGCTTTCAGCCAAGATCCATCGGACATCAGCAATGATATTCCTCATTCCACGGCCTCCTCTCAATCCGGCTTGAACCTCTGGAAGTTCTCTGTCAATGTGTGCTTGCAGCCATTTCTGTATTACCTTTAGTAAAACTTGACTCGTATGGGATATTGAAGAGATTGTCTGATGATTTCCGCATTCTGTTGGGTTGCCTCTCTTGGGAATGGGCACAAATATGGATCTCTTCTAATAAGTCAGCCATATCATCAATTGCTCATATGCAAATTCAAACTGAACCTGAAGAAAATGAAAACAAGTCCATAAGAGTCAAAATATGACCTTGAATATACCCCAACTGAATTTAAAGATCATCTGAAGAACAAATTTGATACATTAAACACTAAAGACTGGAGACCAGAAGAGTTGTGGATTACATCAAGAATATCATACAGGAAGAAAGCAAAAAGTCATTAAGAAGACAAGAATGAAAGAAAAGGTCAAAATGGATGTCAGAAGAGACACTTTAACTTTCTCTCCAGCACAGAGATGCTAAAGCAAATGTAAGAAATGAGGATGTCCAAGAGCTGAACAGAAAATTTCAAAGGTCAGCTTGAGAAGACAAAGTCAAATATTACAACAAAAATGTGCAAAGATCTGGAATCAGAAAACCAAAAAGGAAGAACATACTCAGCATTTCTCAAGCTGGGGAAATTGAAGAAAAATTCAAGCCTCAATTTTCATTATTGAAGGATTCTCTGGGCAAATTATTGAATGATGCAGAAAGCATCAAAACAAGATGGGAGGAATAAACAGAGTCACTGTACCAAAAGGAAATGGTTGATGTTCAACTATTTCAATAGGTAGCATATGATCAAGAGCCAATAATACTGAAGGAAGAAGTCCAAGGTGCATTGAAGGAATTGGCAATGAACAAGACACCAGGAATTGATGGAATAAAAATTGAAATATTTCAAGTGAGGTGACACAGGAGGCACTCAATCATCTCTGCCAAGAAATTTGGAAGACAACTATCTGGCTGACTGATTGCAAGAGATCCGTATCTGTGCTCATTCCAAAGAGAGGTGACCAAACGGAATGCAGAAATCATTGGACAATATCTTTGATATCCCACGCAAGTCAAGTTTTACTAAAGGTAATACAGAAATGGCTGTAAGCATGCATTGACAGAGAACTTCCAGAGGTTCAAGCCGGATTCATAAGAGGCCATGGAACAAGGGACATCATTGCTGATGTCTGATGGATCTTGGCTGAAAGCAGAGAATATCAGAAAGATGTTTACCTGTGCTTTATTGACTACACAAAGGCTTTCAATTGTGTGGATCATGACAAGCTATGGACAACATTGCGAAGTATGAGTATTCCTGAATACTTAATTGTACTTACGAGGAATCTGTACATGGACCAAGAGGCAGTTTTTCGAACAGAACATGGGAACACTGAGTGGTTTAAAATTAAGAAAGGTGTGCACAAGGTTGTATTCTTTCACCATACTTATTCAACCTGTATGCTGAGCAAACAATCTGAGAAGCTGGGTTCTATGAAGAAAACGTGGCATCAGGATTGGAGGAAGACTAACTAACAACCTGCAATATGCAGATGATACAACCTTGCTTGCTGAAGTGAAGAGGACTTAAAATATATTTACTGATGAAGATCAAAGAGCACAGCCTTAGGTATGGATTGCATCTCAATGTAAAGAAAACAAAATCCTCACCACTGGACCAACAGACAACATTCTTATCAATAGAGAAAGAATTGAAGTTGTCAAGGACTTCATTCTTCTTGGATCAATTATCAACACTCATGGAAGCAGCAATCAAAAAATCAAATGACATATTTCATAAGACCTTTTTAAAGTGTCGAAGAGCAAAGATGTCAGCTTAAAGACCTTACCCAAGTCATGGTATTTTCAACAACCTCATATGCATGCAAAAGCTGGACAGTGAATAAATAAGACCGTAGAAGAATTGATGCTTTTGAATTATGGTGTTGGAGAAGAATATTGAAAGTGCCACGGGCTGCCAAAAGAACCAACAGATCTGTGTTGGAAGAAGTCCAGCCAGAGGTCTCCTTGGAGGCCAGAATGGCCAAACTTCATCTTTCATACTTCAGACATACTGTCAGGAGGAACCAGTTGCTGGAGAAGGATATCATGTTTGGTAATGTGGGAAGGTCACAGAAAAAGAGGAAGACCCCCAGTGAGATGGCTTGGCAAAGTGGCAGCCTCAATGGGCTCAACCGTGGCAAAAATAGTGAGGTTGGCCCACAATTGGGCAGTGTTTCATTCTGTTGTACACAGGGTCGCTATGCGTTGGTACTGACTCCATGTCACTTAACAACAAAACGACAAGGGAAGGAAGTAGGGAGTGTGGCGGCTCTGGAGGATGAGCACTGGACTTCAAACCACAAGACTGGTGGTTCAAGCCCACTAGCTTCTCTGTGGGGGTTTTTGTTTCTTTAAAGGTTTTACAGCCTTGTAAACCCTGTACAGGGTCACTATAAATCAGAACCAACCTGAAGGCCAACAACAGGAGAGGGAAAAAGCATTGTTTAAAGTCAGTAGAAGAAAGACATGAGTTTGAGCTTAGCAGTCTCTCCAAATTACTGTAGTTTTCATAACTACTTAAGGAGCATTGGTAGAGCAACGATTAAGCACTTGGCTGCTAACCAAAATATCGGTGGTTTGAGCCTACCAGCCACTCTGTCAGAGCAAGATGTGGCAATCTGCTTCCATAGAGACTGTTGTTGCTGGTGTTAGTGCCCAGTCAGTTCCAACTCATAGTGATCCTGTATAGGGTTTCCAAGGAGTTGCTGATAGGTTTGAACCACAGATCTTATGGTGCAAACTGACCGTAGGTCCAGTGTTTATCTTATAGTGTGCCACCAAGACTATAGCCTTGAAAACCCTTTAAGTAGTTTTATTGTGCCTTATAGCATCACTATGAGTCAGAATCATATTGATGGTAATGGGTTTGGTTCATAACTACTTACTTATCTGAAACAGTCCTTGTCTTCAACAGTGCTGCTGTATAACATATAGCGGCTGACTTTGGAAGGCTTATATCTGTAATAATAATTTTCAACTTAGGTAAGAAGCACAAAATATCTCAAGACAATTTTTTAGTAAGGATAATTCAAAGTGTAAGTTCAACATATATAAAAGAATATGTGCCTGGACATGTAGTTGAACGAGTTAAGTCTAAATCTTGACTGAATTATTATAATATCTATGTGTTTTTGAGCTAGTAACAAGCTTTTTTGAGTTTCACTTTTATTAAAATAGAGAATGGCACATTTTGGGCAGAGATATGCAAAAAATTAAATTAAATAATGTATCTGAAAGCCCTTAGTACAATGTTAAAAAGTTCTCAATAAATGTTTATAATAATCTGCTTACAATAATATTATTCGGGGAAAAAGGCATAGTAAAATTACAAATATGTATTTTAAAAAGTTTTACTGAAAACCACTATTAAGAAAAAAATTAGTTATTATTATTTACATCTAGATAATATAACCACAGATGATTTTTCTTTTTCTATGTTTTTATATTTTCTACATCTCCTTAAATTTTTAAAGTACAATTTAAAAAAATTAATCTGGAATTAGGAAGCAACTGAAGTCCTGGTATGGCACTGTAGGAAAGCACTGGACTGCTAACCTAAAGGTGAGCGGTTCAAACCCACCAGCCACTTCTTGGAAATCCTATACAGGGCCATGTGTCAGAACCTACTTGATAGCACTTAACAACAACAGAAAGCAATTAGTTCCAGGAATTATTTCTTAAACAATATCCAAATAATGCTATCAGAAGAGTAAAAGTAGAGAGATCTCTTGAAATTATAGATTCCTGAGCTATCCTAGCAAATGGAGAAATAAAGCAATAAATTTACTTCTAATTTCATCAGAATTCTAGAAAGGTAAAAACCTGGAACTCCTGAAAATAACTGAAAACCAGGACTTTGAATCAGCTCATTCTGGTTCTGTCATGGCTAATGAACAAAATCGGAACAGTCTCAATTTTTAAAATATGGGTGAAGTGGAACAGTAACTTGAATGGGAAAAATATAGTTCAAAGTCCTGGAATGGGAGACTTTAGTGGGTCCTTTAAGGAGCCTGATGAGAGAGATTAGATTATTGCCAGGACTGTGGAGAGGGACACACATTGAGTAGGGTGGTGGGCCACCATCTTTCAGTGGGGCACTCTTGTTTCCCACTCTGCCAGTCAAAGATTTGGCTGTCATGAAATGTGCACACTGCTCTTATTTTCTAAGATGGAGATTAAGTTTCTAGCAGGGCACTGACTCATAATTTTTCCCATTTTGGTTATCATTCCAGTTTCTCCTTGTCAGTCATGACTAAACCAGAAAGAACTGGTTCAAAGCCCTGCTGAAAACACAGAAGCATAACTAAGTTGTTAGTGCCATTAATTTTATTTTATTTTTAATTAATCTAGTCTTTTTCCAATATTTTTTGTTCAGTCCCTAAGCTTGTTCATCATAAGAACCTTAAGCAGGCCATGCATCTAGTAAATTACATATGGAAAGAATTTCTCACAAGTTTCTCTATAAGCCTACACTATACTAAAGCACTTTCTAAGAATTCCAGATGTTTAAAAGAAATAAACTTCTTTTTGCAAGTATAACACATTTCAAACTTTCCAAGTCATAGGGATTTCCAAGCTGATGGATAAGAACTCACAATAAAATAAGTATGAACAAGTAACTTATTTGTGTTCTACTGCAGTGAAAGATATGACCAGAGCATTAATCTAGTTAGAAGGTTTTCAGGCAGGCAACACACACAGATTCCATTTATGGTAAATTGGCATTGGTAAAATACAATAATAAAAACAGTCAATGATACTGAATTCTTGCTATGAGAAGACTAGTGAATAAAGGAACAAATTACCTAGATTTAAGCTCAGGTTGCCACTTAACTGCAAATCTTGTCCAAATCACTTCACTTTCTTGAACTCCAGTTTCCTTATTTATTAACTGGAGTTAGTCAAAAATACTTGTAATACTGCCTTACAAGATTATTGTAATGGTGAAGATATAAAACTATAGTTTATAACTATAAATCATTATAAAACTGTCATTGTGAATTACTCTTATGTGTACTACTAAGCAACTTCAGTTAGAAAGTCTTCCCTGACACTCCAAGACAAATAAGGTACCCTCCTACGCATATCACTCCTTACTCTCACCTAACATACTGTGCTTTACTGTAACTGCCGCTCATTTGTTTGTATGTCTCATTAAAAAACCTATGAGGGCTAAGCTTACTGCTCACCATTATATTCCTAGTGTCTCAGTCATATTGGTGGTAGTGGTGGTAGTTTCTACAGAGCCCATTCTGACTCATGATAGCCTAACGTGTGCAGAAGAACTACTCCATACAGTTTTCAAGGCTTTGACTTTGAGTCAGATCACCAGACCTGTCTTCTGAGGCACCTTCAGATAGTTTCAAACCACCAGTCTTTTGGCTAGTACTCAAGCAGTAGGTGTTGTGCCAAACAGGAACTTCCTCATTTATATTTGTTGTTGTTTAGTGTGGTCCAGTCAGTTCCAACCCATAGAGGCCCTTTAATAGGGTTTCGAGGAACGGCTGGTGAGCTTGAACCACCAACCTTATGGTTCAAATCGACTTTACAGTCCAGCGCATTAACCCACAGTGCCAAATCAGGACTCCCTCATTCATATTTGTTGTTGTTGTTAAGCGTTGTTGAGTCGATTCCGACCTATAGTGACCATGTATAGGGTTTCCAAGGAGCACCTGGTGAGCTTGAACTACTAACCTTGCAGTACAGATGATTTGGCATTCTGATGCATTAGCCCAGAGCACCACACCAGGACTCCATATTTAGTTGTTGTTGTTGTTGTTGTTAGGTGCCATCAAGTCGGTACCGACTCATAGCAACCTTATGCACAGAAGAAGGAAACACTGCCTGATACTGTGCCAACCTCACAATTGTTGCCACACTTGAGTCCATTGATGCTTCCACTATGCCAATCCATCTCACTGGGGGTCTACCTCTTTTTCTCTGACCCTCCACCTTACCAAACATGATATCCTTCTCCAGCGACTGGACCCTTCTGACAGTATGTCCTAAGTATGAGAGATGAAGTTTGGCCATCCAGGCCTCCAAGGAGCACTCTGGCTGTACTTCTTCCAGCACAGATCTGTTGGTTCTTTTGCAAGTCCATGGCACTTTCAATATTCTCCTCCAACACCATAACTCAAAAGCATCAATTCTTCTATGGTCTTCCTTATTCACTGTCCAGTTTTCACATGCATATAAGATTATTAAAAATACCATGGCTTGGGTTAGGTGTACCTTAGTCTTCAAGCTGACATCTTTGCTCTTCAACACTTTAAAAAGGTCTTGTGCAGAAGATTTGCCTAATGCACTATGTCCCTTGATCTCTTGACTGCTGCTTCCGTGATTGTTGATAGTTGATCCAAGAAGAATGAAGTCCTTGACAACTTCAATCCTTTCTCAGTTAATAAGAATGTTGTTTATAGGTCCAGTGGTGAGGATTTTTGTTTTCTTGACATTGAGGTGCAATCCATACTGAAGGCTATGCTCTTTGATCTTCATCAGTAAATATTTTAAGTCCTCTTCAATTTCAGTAAACAAAGATGTATCATCTGCATATCGCAAGTTGTTAATGAATCCTCCAATCCTGATGCAACATTTTTCTTCCTATAACCCAGCTTCTAGGATTATTTGCTCAGCATACAGGTTAAATAAGGATGGTGAAAGAATACAACCCTGTTGCACACCTTTCTTAATTTTAAACCATTCAGAGTTCCCATGTTCTGTTTGAACAACTGCCTCTTGGTCCATGTACAGATTCCTCATGAGCACAAATAAGTGCTCCAGAATATTCATACTTTGCAATGTTGTCTATAGCTTGTCATGATCCACACAATTGAAAGTCTTTACATAGTCAATAAAGCACAGGTACACATCTTTCTGATAGTCTCTGCTTTCTGCCAAGATCCTTCGGACATCAGCAATGATATTCCTCGTTCCACGGCCTCTTCTGAATCCAGCTGGAACCTCTGGAAGTTCTCTGTCAATGCATGCTTGCAGCTGTTTCTGTATTACCTTTAGTAAAACTTGACTTGCATGGGATATCAAAGATATTGTCTGATGATTTCCACATTCCATTGCGTCATCTCTCTTTGGAATGGGCACAAATACAGATCTCTTGCAACCAGTCGGCCAGATAGTTGTCTTCCAAATTTCTTGGCATAGATGAGTGAGTGCCTCCTGTGCCGCCTCACTTTCTTGAAAGATTTCAATTTTCATTCCATCAATTCTTGGTGTCTTATTCTTTGTCAATTCCTTCAATGCACCTTGGACTGCCTCCTTCATTATCATTAGCTCTTGATCATATGCTACCTCTTGAAACAATTGAACACCAACCATTTCCTCTTGGTACAGTGACTGTGTATTCCTTCCATCATCATCTTCTTCTTCCTCTTCTTTTTTTAAATGTTTTATTGTGAATTATGTAATAGTTTATATGGGTGAATATTAGCTTTACATTCATCCTATTGCATACCATTTCATTGCCATGGTTACAATCCCCTCCATGCATCATCAACCAACCAGATGGTATACCCCACAAGCCTGCGCCCTGGTTGTCAGCACACAGCCCCTCTCTCTCTCTGGGTTTAGAGTTCCCAGCCACTTCTTCTCCCCAAGTTATCATCTCTGCCACCATCTCTGGGGTCATTGTTTCTCAGGGTAGGTTCCCGCATTCCGCTCTTCTCCCTTGATGGTCCCAGGGACCTCCATTCTTGGACTGTAAATTCTACTTCTCCTCCTTTTGCTACAAAACATCTACCTTTACATTTCCAACTGTCACAGTCAGTCCTGATAGTCACTATTCACTATTGTAGCACATGAATGCTAGCCACATCTCCTTTCTTCAGTCCCGCCCAGACATATGGGATACTACTCAGTGGAGATTCTACATTCCTCCATGCCCTCTGGATCTAGACTCCCTCTTGAAAGCTTGTAAACCAGTCACTTCTTGCCTTTGTAGCCCCCCACCCCCATTTGTGTAGCTAATGTCCAAGTTGCTCATCCCTATCTACCCTATGTAATGAGTGGGTGGGAATGATCCTCACTGTAAAGATTTGTTCCCTCTTTTGAGCTACTGCATCCATAGGTGTAGGTCCAGTTAATCAAATTGCATCAGATTACTCTTTTTTTCCTCTTCTTTCTTCTTCTAGTTGAGCTCTGCTCATCCAGCCATTGAAGCCAGATCAAGTGGGTATTATCTGTAAGTGTGGGTATTTGTGTGCATATGCCCTCTCTTCTTATCAGCTGGATGCTTCATTCTCCACTCTAGTCCTCTGTGGCTATGTCACTGACTCTGGGTCCAGGAGTCTCCAGGTCTTCCCAAGCTACTGGCCAACCAGTCTCCACCCGGGTTTACAGGAGTGTATTGAATGTGGTTGGACTTAGCTTGCAACTCCGTTGCTGTTTTTCCCTCACTTCCCCTTATCGATGACCAACATGGTCACCAGTCAGAGCACATGTCTGCTCATGTATTCCCACTGAGTCTCAGCTTCCATATTCTTTTGATGCTTTCTGCATCATTCAATAATTTGCCCAGAGAATCCTTCAATAACGAAAGTTGAGGCTTGAATTTTTTCTTCAGTTCCTGCAGCTTGAGAAATGCTGAATGTGTTCTTGCTTTTTGGTTTTCTGAGTCCAGATCTTTGCACATTTTGTTGTTGTAATATTTGGCTTTATCGTCTGGAGCTGACCTTTGAAATTTTCTGCTCAGCTCTTGTACTTTCTCAGTTCTTCCACTTGCTTTAGCATCTCTATGCTGGAGAGCAAATTTCAGTGTCTCTTCCGACATCCATTTTGACGTTTTTCCTTCCTTTTCCTTCTTTCTTGTTTTCTTAATGACTTTGCTTTCTTCCTGTATGATATTGTTGATGTCATCCCACAACTCTTCTGGTCTTCGGTTTTGAGTGTTTAATGTATCAAATCTCTTCTTCAGATGATCTCTAAATTCAGGTGGAATATAGTCAAGTCATATTTTGGCTCTCGTGGACTTGCTTTAATTTTCTTCAGCTTCAGTATGAATTTGCATATGACCAATTGATGGTCTGTTCCACAATCTGCCTGACCTTGTTTTGACTGATGATATGGAGCTTTCCCATTGTCTCTTTCCACAGATGTAGTCAATTTGATTTCTATGTATTCCATCTGGCGAGGTCCATGTGTATAATCGTCTCTTATGCTGTCTAAAGAAGGTATTTGAAATGAACAAATCATTGGTTTTGCAGAATTCTATCATGCGATCTCCAGTATCATTTCTATCACCAAGGTCATATTTTCCAACTACTGATCCTTCCTCTTTGCTCCCAACCTTTGCATTCCAATCACCACTAGTGATTAATATATCTTCATGTTTGATCAATTTCAGACTGTAGAAGTTGGTAGAATTCTTCTATTTCATCCTCACTGGCTTTAGTGGTTGGTACATAAGTTTGAATAATAGTGGTATTAAGTGGGCTTCCCTGTAGGCGCATGTATATTATCCTATCACAGACAGCATTGTACCGCATGACTGATCTAGATATGCTCTTTTTGACAATGAATGCAACACCATTCCTCTTCAATTTGTCATTCCCAGCATAGTAAACCATGTGGTTGTCAGATTCAAAATGGCCAATATCAGTCCATTTCAGCTCATTAATGCCTAAAATATTGATGTTTATATGTTCCATTTCATTTTTGACAATTTCCAACTTTCCTAGATTCATATTTTATACATTCCATGTTCCGATTATTAATGAATGTTTACAGTTGTTTCTCTTCATTTTGAGTTGTGCCCCATCAGCAAATGAAGTTCCCGCTGGGTTTTCTCCCATAGGCTTTACTCCATTTGCATCATCACAGTCAACTCTACTTTGGGGAGGCAGCTCTTCCCCAGTCGCATTTTGAGTGCCTTCCAACCTGAGGAGCTCATTTTCCGGCACTGTATCTGACAGTGTTTCTCTGCTATTCATAAGGTTTTCAGTGACTAAATATTCGGGAAGTAGTTCATCTCTCCTTCTTCCTAGTCTGTCTTCGTCTGGAAGCTCATCTGAAACCTGTCCACCATGGGTGACCCTGCTGGTATTTAAAATACCTGTGGCATAGCGTCCAGAATCACAGCAACTCACCAGCCACCACAGTACGACAAACTGATAGACGAGTGGTAGTGACAAACTCCATACTAAGTACTCAATAAACATGAGGTCACTACACATAGGAATCAACTGGACAGCAACTAACAACAACAAATCAGCAAATGAATTTTGACAAAGGAAAGTTCCTCCTTGCAGGTTTTGCTACTTAAAATCCTGATAAAGAAGATACTTACCAGCAACTTGTACCCATACATGATAAATACTAACTGGCAAGAACGGAAAGGGAAAAGTAGGAAAATACTAGAATTGTTTTTAAATGATGTGGAGTCAGTTTTGACTCATAGCAACAACCCTGTATACGGTTCCCAAGGCTTTAAATCTTTTGCAGGAGTATAAGGTTCATCTTTCTCCTGCATAGTGACTGGTGGGCACCACCAACCGGCTTTGTGGTTTGCAGTCCACTGCTTATCCTATGAAGCTACTGTGCTCCCAAATACTAAAATAGGATCATATTTATGGTTACATAATGAACACACACACACAGACTTTAACTACACTATCAAACAAGAGAAATATCACTTACCATCATATTTTGCTAGAACTGCCTGAACATCTGCATAGGCTTGTAGTTCTAAAAGTGATTCTAGGAGATTCTCATGGATGTTCAACATGGTAAGAGGAGGAAATTCTTTTATCAACTGTAAATTAAAAGAAAAGAAAGAAGATTGAAATCACATAAGAAGATCTCAATAGATTTACTACAGCAGAAAGTCTTCTTTTCTTAACAAAATTGTGGAACCCGTTCCTTAAGAAATGTGGGCATACATAAAATATCTTACTATCAATTAGAAAACAATGATACTGCATAAAAATAAGCAACTTTTAAATGAAAATTTTAGTTCTTAATGGAATAAATATACCAGTAGAGTCATCAAATTTACTTACATCTCTCATTATTTTTACTGCTTCTCTTAGTCTTCCTAATTTTCTTGCACACATTGCCAATCTTCTTTTAGTATATACTAGGACATTAGCATCTCTTCCTATTTGAAAAAAATGAAGAAGGATGTAACTATAATTTTTATATTATGTTCTGCTATTTCATTAACATAATACCCATTACTTTTATTTTTGCTTACCCTACAAGGTTCAGTGAAAATTAAGCTGTGTCTGAATGGCAAAATATTGATGACTATTGAATGTGGATAATGACTCTTGATGGGAATTCATTACACTTTTCTATTTTTGTGTATGATTAAAAGTTTAATAAAAACATAAGGGCATAAAAAAACAATAAGGGCATATATTGAATTATTTCTAAATCTCAAAGAAAATCAAATGAGTACAGTACATATAAAGTATTAATGTATACTTGACCAATTTACTAGAAAGTTTTCACATTTACTTGACACATAAATAGGAAAAAGTAACATTATTATTTCTCTATAAACAATCTATTATTTTAATATTCTCGACTCAATGGCACATAACAACGACAACAACAATGAGGATAATGCACTGGATCACAAGATCAGTTTGAACCGCAAGATTGGTGGTTCAAATCCACCAGCCGTATCTTGGAAACCCTATACAGTGTCACTACGAGTTAGAATTGACTTGATGGCACTTAATAACAGCAATATTATTTCAACTAGCAAGAAAAAAATTTTCTAAAATGAAATTTCCATGGCTAATACAAACTATTTTCTTAATAGCAGTAACCTAAAATTATAAACCTACTTCTTGAAAGAGCTAACAAATGTCTTTGTAACTATCACATAGCCACAGTTAAGATTATACAAGAAGGATCTTCCAGCAAGATGGAAGACTAAGCAGACCCACCACACAGACCCTCTACAATAAAGATATGGAACACAAAATAAAATGGACACAAATGAAAATTCTGGCACCCTAAACTTCAGAGTCCTAGTGTAGCACCATATGATACTCAACCTCAAAATCAATTGAACAGTAAGGCTGGTGGTTCAAATTCACCAGCCACTGGTCGGAAACCCTATACAGGATTGCTAGGAGTTGGAACCAACTCAACTTAACAACAACAACAAACTTCAAAAGAAAGGTTAGGACGTGGATGGAGTGCATGCTGGGAGGAGAGGCCAATCAGGGATGGTAAGAGAGGGAGACTGACTGGTGAACAGCTGGCCAGATGGGGCTCTACCATTTTGTGAGCAGCTTTGCCAGCAGAGGGAGGGCTGGCAGGGCACATTCCCATGAGCATTGGGAAGGATGCAATTTCTTCTTTTTCCCCACGCTCCTCTAGTGACCAGAGGTGTGGCCAGCTCTGACCTTCATCCACCAAGAAAATCTGCCGATCCTGTGCTGGTCATATACCTAGCAAAGCTGTCCCTCACATACGATGGTGAAAGTAGGACATTTCCTGATAAACAAATATGAAAGGAATTTGTAATAACCAGATCAACTTTACAAAAAATGCTAAAGAGTGTTCTTTGAACTGAGAACCAACAACAGCAGAAAACAACCTAAGATTATCATATATGACAGGACCGCTCACAATTCAATCAGACTGCCGATATTGTTTTGTATTTTTCCTGTAGGTCTTTCTTTCAAGAAGTATCTTCTGTTCTTCTAGCTGCTCCAGGCTGGTCTGCTTGTCCTTTCAAGTGGAAATTTCCCACCTCAGAAGATTCTGGATGTGGTTCAGGATTTTACCTCTGGTCTTATGTAATGCAGAGGCTCCAAAGGAAGCCTCCTTCACTGGGCACGTTGTAGCCCCATTTTAGGTATTCCAATCAGTTATAGGCAGAAGACGGACTTAGAAGCTTTCTATGGTGATATTTCTGGCTATTCCTTTCTCTCCTCCTCCAGTGTCTATTTTATAACAGTATGCCAGGGAAACCAAGATTCAAAACACAGCCAAGCATCTCAACATCAATTCCCTCCTTTTCCCCATTCCAACCATGTCTCAATCCCTGTATCCCAGAGCCCTGTTGTTCCAAGGTTGTGCATACATCACTATTTACCTCTGTCCCACTTAGGCCATGCAAACCTGCCTAATTGTTTCCAGTCCGCTTTGTTCTTCCATTCCCCTCCCCCTTCTTGTGTGTTGCACCACCCCCCCCATAGCACCTAAACTATCCTGTGTCTACTCCCTACCCTGTGCTCCACCTTCACCTCCCTCCCCTCACCCAATCCCCCACAGTCCAGTAACCAGCAAGAACCACTCACCACCACCACCACCACCCACCTTTAGTATGGGTTCTTTTTCTTAGTCTTTTACAGTAGTGGTCCTATGCAGTATTGAACAAGATTTTCTTAATAAAAGAAACAATCTATGATGGTTACAGGAGGTGGGGGGTGGAATTATTCATAGGCTACAGAATAGACATATATCAACATAGGTGACAGGGCAGACAATGTACAATAAGAGGGAGGTTAGCAGAGGAAAGCTGAAGGTGCTGGAAGACACAGGCTTAAGTGAATATAGGTAAATGCTGTTAACTGTTGGTATATGAAGGGGATTGCAACCATGTAAGGAAGTATATGATTTGCTGAATGTAAAACTGATGATGTGCTCTCTAAATTTTCACTCAATTCACAATACAAAGTTTAAAAAAAAAAAAATTATACAAGGATAAAATAGCATGACTGTTTTGCAGACATAGATTAGTTCCAGACTATAAAATTATATACTCACATGTGTTATAACATAGATTAATAAAATATAATGCATACATTAATATTTAGCCAAGAGGACATTAAATAATTTTTAATATCCAAAACCAAAAAGATTCAGAATGTAAGTGCTGATAATGCATTACATAAACACAGTTCAATATATTGCCCAATAATATACAGATTGAATCATGTCCCTCAAAAACATGTTATAGATCCTAATCTACCTTTGTGCTTGTTTTTATAATCCTATTTGGGAATGGGATGTCTTTCTTATGTTAATGAGGCAGGATTAGTTTAGGGTGTGTCTTGAGTTGATCTCTTTTGAATATAAAAGAGATTAAACAAGTGAGCAGAACAGATATGTGGTAAGATAAACTCCAAGACACTTGAAGATCTCCAAGGAACCAAGAAGCAGAACCTGCACAAGGATCTTCCTCCAGAGCCTACAGAAAGAGAAAGTTTTCCCCTCAAACTGGTATGTTGAGTTCAGACTCTAGCCTCCTACACTGTGAGAAAATACATTTCTTGTTTGTTAAAGTTACCTACTTGTAGTAGTTCTGTTACAGTAGCACTATATAACTAAGACAGAATTTGGTGTCTTAGTTAGAAGGGAGGGGTGTTGTGCCAATGTTGTTGTTGTTAAGTGCCATCAAGTTGGTTCTGACTCATAGCAAGGCTGTATAGAGTTTCCAAGGAACAGGTGATGGTTTTGAACCTGCCAACCTTGTAGTTAACATTTCAGTGTTCATCCTACAGCACCACACCAGGAGCTGCTCAGATGGTCTCAGAGACAAAAGGATTATTTTGAAACCTTGAGCAGTAATGTAAGGGGCTTGGGATTTGCTTGGTACCTGTCATCCCTTCTTTCCCTCCACTTTCTCCCATTTGTGATACAAATGTCTACCTCATACCTGTACCATCAGTATACTTTAGAAACAGATTACTTATAATCTAGATCTCACAGGTTCACAGATGAAGAGGAATGTTATCCTGGGATGGAATATGCTGAAAGTTTAACCCATATTTGATGTAGATCACTCAGAAGATGAGATTTTAGACTTCGAATTGATTTAAGACTTTTGGGATGATGTGATGGTTTAAATATATTTTGCCTGTGGCAAGGACATGAATTTTGGCAGTCAAATGGTAGAATGTTATGGATTGAATTTGTGGTTGTTAATTATCGTGGAGTTGATTCTGACTCACTGTGACCCTGCACAGGGTTTCTGACACTGTAAATCTTTACAGGAGCAGAAAGCCTCATCTTTCTCTCGCGGAACAACTGGTAGTTTCGAACTGCCGACCTTGAGGTTAGCAGCCTGATTCGTAACCACTATGCTACTAGAGCTCCTTTATGGACTGAATATGTACCCCCAAAACAAGTCCTGTAAATTCTAACCTCTATGCTTATGGTTGTGATCCCATTTGAGAATGGGTTGCATGTGCTACATTAATAAGACAATATTATTGTGAAGTGAATTTTGATTCAATCTCTTTTGAGCTATAAAGCAATTGAACAAGCAAGCAGATGCAGAGATGGGAGAAGACACATAAAATCCCCTACAGTTGGCACTCTAAGTTTGGACTTCTAGTCTCCTGAACTTTGAGAAAATAAATTTGTTTGTTAAAGAACTCACTGTGGTACACACTATCTGCCAAAATCATTAAACAAAGACTCTCTGGCCACAAAAGTAGCAAGAAGCAGCAGCACTGCTGAATCTAACAACTTTGATTGTTGTTAAATGCCATCAAGTTGGTTCCAACCCACAGCAACCCTGTATAGGGTTCCAAGGAGCAGCTGGTGAGCTTCAACCGCCGACCTTGCAGTTCAAACCAACTTTACAGCCTAGCACCGTAACTCACAGTGCTGCACCTGGACTCCAACAATTTTGATAAAAGTGCCTTAATCATAACTGGGAGAAAAGACCTAAGAGTGGAAAGAAAGGACCTTTGTTACTGTGACCCTTTTGTTGTAGTCGATAAGTGTCATGAAGTCAGTTCTGACTCATAGAGACACTGTATAGGGTTTCCATGGAGTGGCTAGTGGATTTGAACCACCAACCTTGTGGTTAGCAGTCCAGTGTTACAGCAAGAATCCTCTATAAACCGTATGATCCTAAAAACATCATGGAGGAAAATCAACAAAAAGAAAACAAATCAGTGTCAAGAATAAGGTTGGATTCCATCCTGAGAATCAGTTAGTAAGATAGGGGCCACATCCTAGCATTAAATGCATATATATATACAATCTAGTGCCTGAAGGCAGATAGCTGCTTACCATCAGTAGAAGTTCCTAAAATCTTGAATATAAGTTGAGTTTTGTTTCCCCAATGATCAACCCAATTCTCCTATGAAATAAATTCAGTCTCAGAACAACACATCTATCTCTTCTCAATAACCTCTCTAATACATATTCCTGTCTTGCTGGTGTATAGATATTATGAATAGATTAGTTATCTTCTATGAAATTCAGCTAACCTTTAAATATTGTTTAAAAAATTTTTTTAAGTATGATAGAGCCAATTTCAGGAGCTAAAATATAGGTAAAAATCAATTCAAATTTGCTTACTCAGTTGTGCTTCATGCTGAGGACTTTGGTGCTGACACTGCTGTGACCGCCTATACATTGTTTCTCCTGCCTTCAGTGCCTGTTTAAACAGCCTCTCAGCATCAGCAATAGTTGTTGCTTCTTCCTCAGCCAGTAGAACATATGCAGTGGCACAGCTGTGAAAAAGCAAGCAAGGCAATTTTAAATGTAAAGTGGTAAAACAAGAATTTTCTCTTGGGTATATCCTGTTACCATTTACACCACATTTCCCTAGCTGTGTTATCTATACTTTCCATCTCTTGGGAAAAAAATTTAACAAAACAATTCTTTGTTCAATATTAATATTGTAGGCTACTAGGGGCACACTGGAGTCCTGGCGTGATGCTGTAGGATAAGCACTGGACTGCTCACCACAAGGTTGGAGGTTCAAACCTACTAGCTACTCCTTAAAAACCCTATACAGAGTCATTATGAGTTGGAACTGACTCAATGACACTTAACAACAACCACAACAACAAAGGGCATATTGGAATATTATTTATGTCTTTTCCCACCATTTTCCTTTTTCCTAGGTTTTTCTTTATTTTCTATCTTTTTTCTATTTCTTTCTTTGACCTGTTATTCCTTTTTTTGTGGAGGAAAGGAAGGAGAAAAGGAGATATATAAAGAATTATCTGGAAAGTAGTTTAGAAGACTAGTATACAATCTAGTGGTCAGGTATGTACTTATTGTTGTTGTTATTAAGTGCTGTCAAGTCGATTCTGATTCATAGCTCCAAGGAGCAGCTGGTCAGTTTGAAGCACTGACCTTTTGGTTAGCAGTCCAGTATTTATCCTACAGCATCACACCAGGACTCCAATGCCACTATATATTTGTAATATTCATCTAACACAGATGGGGATGGGAAAGAGTGGGAATTGAGAAGAAAGTCTCTTAGTTGACTAGGCACTTTCATCATTTGACTCAAACATGCTCCTGGACTAGGCGTTATCCCCAGTCCTGAGTATACTCCCCGATGTTACCCACCAATCCCTTGAATTCATCCACAATTATCCTACAGTAAAACTTCCCTCAGTCTACATTCCAGTGCTTGCTCCTTCACTCTTACTCTCAATCTTCTCCACTGCTTACTCAAGTTTTCTTTACCCATTAAAAACCTATTAAATCAACAGCTAGTTAATAAGATAAACTAATTGTTTTTATACAAAAAAAGAGAGACAAAGCAGCTTCGATTACATTTCCAGGAATAACAAGTACATCTCTCCTGGAGACAATGTTTTAGTTTTGATCATCTATGCCTGCTTTGTTGTTATCATTAGCCATATGGGGTTACTGAGCACTTAAATTTGGCTACTCTAAATCTTCAAAATATTATGCACAGATTCCATCTCATGATAACCTGGTGTGCATTTTTAAATTCACATAAGATTGTGAAGATTTTAAAAAGCTCTTACTTCATAATAGCTTTTTAAAACAACTGATTACATGTTAAAATGAAAATATTTTGAATATACAAGATAAGTAAAAAATTATCTGCACTCTGGCTGTGGAATTAATTTTGATCAGCTTTTAGAAAAGACAAATACATCATTTTTTGACATAATCTCCTTGCTTTTCAATACAGTTAGTCCATCTGTCAACAAGTATTCGTATTCCCTTAGTGAAAAATGTTTTAGACTGAGCTGTAAGCCACAAATGCACCGCTGTCTTCACTTCTTCATCAGAGGTGAATCTTCATCCTCTAAGGACTGCTTTCAGGGGACCAAACAGGTAAAGTCTAATCGAGCAAGATCAGGACTATAGGGAGGATACTGTAACACCTCAAAACGAAGGTTTTGCACTGTCAACAGTGCAGGCAGAGGTGTTCAGACGTGTATTGTCATGTAAGATCACAACACCCTTGAATAGCAGCAGTCCTCTATGTTTAATATGGAGTACTGGTGTGGTACTGTGGGTTAATGTGCTAGACTGCAAAGTCGGTTTGAACCGCAAGGTTGGTGGTTCAAGCTCACCAGTTGCTTCTTGGAAACCCTCTAGAGGGTCACTATGGGTCAGAACCAACTTGACGGCACTTAACAACAACAACATGTTTAATCTGGAGTCCTGGTGTGGTGCTGTGGGTTAATGTGCCAGATTGCAAAGCCTTTTGAACTGCAAGGTCGGCAATTCAAGTTCATCAGCTGCTCGGAAACCCTATACAGGGTCACTATGAGGGTCACTATGGGTTGGAACCAACTCAATGGCACTTAACAACAACAACGTTGAATCTGAAGGTTAGGCTTCAGCTCTTCAGTGAGCAGCTCACAGTAAGGAGGGAGCACTGTTGATTGTTGAGCCTTTTTCCTGATAGTGTTCCAATACTGGCCCTTGATAGTCCCAGAAAACTGTAAGCATCAATTTTCCCATTGATAGTTGACTTTTAACTTTTCTTGGCCAGTAGTTGGGGATGTTTCCATCCCATACTCAGTCATTTACTCTCAGGTTCATAGGTCAAATCCATGTCTTGTTACAAGTAACAATTCTTTAAAAGAAACTTTTGCCTTCCTTCGAGTATCAGTCTACATTTTGTTGACAGATGTTTATGTTCTTCTGTGAGTTGTGTCAGTACCCATCTTGCACAAACTTTTCGAAACCCGTATGTTATGGATTGTTTCACAGCCAAAGCCATGGCTGATTTGCAAATGATTTGCCATATAATCCACTGTCACTTTTCTATTTGACAGAATCATTTCACGTGCATGTTCAATGTTGTCATCAGCCATGATGTGGATAGGCGTTTTAATATAATTGAGTGCAGATACTTTTTGACTCACTCTAGTAGTTAAATAAAATGTTATTAAAATTACTTTCACTGACTTCATTTTCCTTTATCAAAGTGGGTGCTAAAAATTTTTAACTATATACATGGCTCACATTATCTCATACAACACTTACCTATGTGAGGAGAGAGAGATTATTGGTAAAAATGCAAGGTCAAGGATGAAACAAAGAGTTATAAACCCAGATATCAAACAATTGAGAGGAAAAAAGATCTCACACATGTGGAAAATGCAAATATGAACTCAGCACCCTTCAAATAATATATCTAAATTAAAGTATATAATAAATTCACTAAACAAGGTATTCCTTTGTTGCATTTCATTGATTACTCTGAAGCAACAGAGATTCTACTAGACTCTTAAAACCCAATCCATGTTTAAAAATTATCATAACATTTAAAAAAAAAAACTGTAGACGAATATATATTTATATAGCAGATTAAAATATTATTTTTAAATTAAATTAAGTTGTTTGTTTTGTTTAAACTCTTTCAGAAAACATTTTCTATGGAGATGTTACAAGAAATTATTATGAGTACTAATGAAGCTAACTAAGGAGCTCTGGTAGTATAGTGGTTACGAATTGGGCTGCTAACCTCAAGGTCGGCAGTTTGAAACTACCAGCTGTTCTGCGAGAGAAAGATAAGGCGTTCTGCTCCTGTAAAGATCTGCAGCCTTGGAAACCCTGTGGAGGGTCACTATGAGTTAGAACCGACTCCACAGCACTTAACAACAACAACAAATGAAGCTTACTATTAAGATTTTTTTAAATTGTAGTTAAAAAAAAAACCAAAAAAAAAACACTGTAGTAAAATTTACATAACATAAAATTCACTATTCTATACACTTTAAAGTATACTTCAATGGCTTTTGGTAGATTCACAATGTACTCAGAGACTTTTTGGTAAATTCACAATATTATGCAATAATAACCACGAGCGATGTAATCAACATCTAGCTCTAGTAATTCCAGAACATTTCCTTCACCCCAAAGAAAGAATCTATAGCCATTAGGTAGCTACTTGTCATTTGCTCCTCTCTTCAGCCCTTGGCAACCACTGATTAACTTTCTATTGCTATAAATTTACTTACTCTGCTCATTTTCTATAAACGGAATCATACAGTATGTGGCCTTTTGTGACTAGCTTCATTCACATTGTCATTCAATTACCATGTTTTCAAGATTCACCCATGTTGTAGCATGTGGCAGTACTTAATTCTTTTTCTGACTGAATAATCCTATTGGATAGATAGACCACATTATGGTTATCTACAATCACTTGATAGACATTTGGGTTGCTTTCACTTTGGGGCTGTTATAAATAATGCTGCAATGACCATTTGTGCACACATTTTTGTTTGAACATCTGTTTTCAATTCTCTTGTATATATATCTAAAAGTAGAGTTGTTGAATCATATAATAATTCTATGTCTAACCTTCTGAGGAACCACCAAACTCTTTTCCACAGTAATTCCTCTATTTTACATTTTCATATATTTCTTCTTATCCCCATATAACCAACACTTGTTATTTTCTGATTTATTTGTATTATAGTCAGCCTATTAGGTGTAACTAGGTATCTAACTATAGTTTTTTTGCATGGAGTTTGTGTGGAGGTCTCGCTGTTTTTTTTTTTTAATTTTATTGTTAAAAATACGCACAGTAAACATGCCAATTTAACAGTTTCTGTATGTACAATTTGGACTCCTGGTGTGGTGCTGTGGGTTAATGCACTGGACTGCAAAGTAGGTTTAAACAGCAAGGTCAGTGGTTAAGCTCCCCAGCCGCTCCTTGGAAACCCTGTACAGGGTCACTATGGGTCAGAACCAGTTCAATGGCACTTAACAACAACAACATGTACAATTCAGGGACAATAATTACACTGTTTGAGTTGTGCAACCACTGTCAGCCTCCTTTTCAAATTGTTCCTCTCCATTATCACAAACTCACTGCCTGCTAAGATTCCTATTTAATCCTTCAAGTTGCTGTTATCAATTTGATCCCATATAAATAGTTCTTCAAAGAACATAATACTCAAGGCAGATATTTTTTTACCAGTTAAGTTAAACTATTGTTTGATTTTGATTTGCATTGCCTTAATGACTAATGATGCTGGGCATTTAAAAATCTGATTATTTATCATTTATATATTTCCTTTGGAGAAGTGTATATTTAAGAACTTGGCCCTTTTTTTAAATGTTTGACTGGTTTGTGCTTTTGCTGTTGAGTTGGAAGAGTTCATAATATATTCTTAGTAATGATCCTTATCAGATGTAAGATTTGCAAATGTTTTATCACATTCTGTGGGTTGTCTTTAACTTTCTTGTTAATGTCTTTGGATATAAAATAGTTTTT